TTTACCTACGGAGCTCAAACTAAATAATGCACTTTTGAACCACGCGTCCGCTTGGAGCTAACATAAATAAATATCGGTGTTCACCGATGAAGTCCTCGGGTGGACACTTTCTCAATTATTTTTTTCCTTCTTTTCTATAAAAAGTCAAATGATATTTTTTTTCAACTTTTATAAAGTTTGGGTGGAGAGGTGAGAGAAGGGGGAGAGGGGACTTTCCCACCGGGCCTCAGTTGCCGCTATTGCCGATAGATGCCTATACCTTTTCCTTCCGTGGCCCGGGTCTTCCCCACACATGGGAGCCGCAGCCTCCACCGTTATCCCGCCCCTCCCGGGGCTCCTCCCCTCCCCCTAGCTCCTTTCTGTCCCTCGATGGCCACCCCGGCCGCCCTCACTGATACCCCAGCGCCGAGGCGGTGGTCAGTCTCTGTCCGTAGAGGGCGTAGGGGGAGTAGTAGGGTCCGGTTGCGGCAGGCACCGGAACCGGAGCGCCAGGTGTGGGGAGCGGGCTCTTGGAGTAGGGGTGGTAGCGGCTGCTAAGTCCCAGCGCATGGTGGGGGCTGCGCAGCGCCAGGGTCCCTGGACTGCCAGGTGCGCCCGACGTGGGGATGTGCATGTGGCAAGCCATGGCAGCCGCGGCGGCGCTGGCCAGAGACGACGAGCTTGGGTAGCCCGACAGCAGTTTGTCTGTCCCGGGGAAGGCCGTATGGGTCCGCAAGTGGCTCAGTAGCTCTTCGGACGTGGCGAAGCGCTTGTCACACGGCCCATTGGCCGACACCCAATTGCAGATATGGGGGAGCGGGTCATTAGGGAGCATGAAGCCGTAGGGATAGAGAGGGTGGCCGGCCAGGGAGGGCGGGGTGGCGCCGGCAGCGGCAGCGGCCGTGAGCGAGGAATGCACGCCGTGCAGCGGGTGCGTGGGGTACACGAGCGGGTATCCGGACTTGAGCGCGGCCGCCGCGGCTGCGGGGTCATGCGCGCACGAAGCGCTGGCGGCCGCAGCCCCAGCCAAGTGGCTGGCGCAGTGGTAGCTTAGGCAGTATGGGTCCCGGCACAAGCTGGCTGTCATCACGGAAGGCGGTGACGCCCCGGCCAGGGGGCTGGAGCCTGCGGGCTTGCTGCAGCCCAGAGAGCCGGCCGCGGCCGCCGCCAGCTGCGCGCCCACCAGGCTACCCGGCTTGGTGGGGTCGAGCGCCACGCCGTGGGGCAGAAACTGGGGCGGGTAGCCGGCGTAGGCCCCAGCCAGGCTGCCGGGGTAGGTCATGCCCGCAGGAGGCAGAGGGAACACTGTCTGGCCGGGCTTGTAGGGAGACACCGGGGCCACCAGCCCCGAGCCCAGCACCGAGGAGGAGGTGGGTGCGCTTGGGCCGGAGCCTGAGCTAGAGCCGGAGGAGCCTCCGCAGTCCGAGCCCAACGCCTTGCCCCCCGGGCCCCCGTCTGGGTGCTGGTTCACGTCCACGTTGATGCCGCCGCCGCAGCTAATCCGGCCGTGTGCCAGCCCCGCGGAGCCCCCTTCGGCCGGGGTGCCCCCGGCGCCCTTGCCGCCGCCGCCCCCTCCCGCGTCGGGGTCTTTCTTGTCGTCCTTGCCCTCCGGGCCGCCGCCGGCCGAGGGCAGCATGCCTCCTGGCGAGCAGGCCGAGGCGCTGGAGCTCGGGCTGCCTGTCCTGGGCGTGAATGGCTGGCAGGTGGCGCTCGGTACCCGGAATCCGGACTTCTCCGCCGAAACACCCCCGCCGCTGCCCCCGCCGCCGCCGCCTCCCGCGCCGCCTCCTGGCTCCTTCTTATCCGAACCAGGTTTGGAGTACGGCTTGAAACTCGACTTGTCCTCCACGCCAATGTCGCTCAGCTTCAGGGGGCCCGACTTGGAGTCCTTGTCGCCCCCGGAGCCACCGCCTGCACCGCCCGCGCCACCCCCGTTGGAGGCGACCGAAGAGAGTTTGGAGGAGGGCGAGGGGTCGGGCTTCCCGATCTGCGAACATGTTTGCGCCAGCAGCGCCAGCGGGCTCTTCTTGGCATCGAGCTGTAGGGTCAGACGGGGAGGGGGGAAGGGTCACACAGAGAAAGAGCGGAAACCCTTTAGATTCCTGGCTTTTAGGACTCTAAGACCCCTCCACGACAGCCCGCGAAGAGCAGCGCGGCCCCAAGACGCAATCCGAAGCTGCACCCCCTTCACACCCACGGGCAAGCTTTTCGACCTTGGGAGAGCTTCCCCCCACCCCGTCTGGGTCCTGCCTGCATTCTCCGAGCTCTAACTGGATTTGGGAAAGAGGGGGGGGTCTCAAAATGTTTTGAATTTTAGCTCTTAGAGTCAGAGGTATAACCCTCTCCCTGCATACACTCCTTGATTCTTCAGAGCGAGAGCTTGGGCGCCTGGCGCCCCGGAGGCTGCGAACACATTCTAGCTTCTGGGGAGCCTGAGGACGGCGACTTTGGGACGATATTTCAGGCCCCTGCCCGCCTTCGGGCTCCAGTAGGTAGGGGCTTGGGTTGGGGTAGGGGGTTTTATACTAAAAGGACACACAAGTTTGGGCCGCCGTGCCCACTCATAATCGTACCCCATTCCACCTTCCCCTTTTCCGCCCTAGTTTTGAGGTGCGGAAACGCTATCCTCTTCCCCATCCCGAAGCTGAATCACTCCAACACCCTGCCCCCACCCTCTGATCCCAGAGGAAAGAAACCCCGCAGGGAGGCAGGCAGGGTGGTGGCCCCAGCTTGACCCTGGGAGAGGGTTCTTACCTCGATGGGGCTGACGGGCGTGGAGGGCAGGGGCTGCAGGTACTCGGGGTGCAAAATGTGGCCAGTCCGAGCGGTCAGCATCTTCAGCACCTTGATGGGCAGGCGGTTGGCCTGGCGGAGGGGGTCAGAGGGGGGCACGGCGTGCACAAAAGGCTTGGTGCTGCCGGGCGGGGACGAGCCTGGGCCGGGGCCGGTGCTATTTCCAGAGAGCGCGCTGCTGGTCCAGGCAGGGTCCGCGCCGCCGCCGCCGCCGCCGCCGCCGCTGTGCTTACTGCTTCTTAGGGCAGAAAGCGAGGGCGCTGTGCTCATGACCCACCCGCGCGCATGGGAGCAGCGGGGGAGGCGCGGGGCGGGCTCGGGGCTGCGCGCTCGCCCGGGGTGCAGGAGCCGCGGCAGGAGGAGAAGAAGCCGGTGCAGCGGCTACGGGCGCCCAGCGCGCCTTCTCGGCGCCTGGAGCCGGAAGCGAATAATCCTGGGTGGCCAGCCGCGGAGCGGTGGCCAGGCCGGAGCGGCGGGCAGGACTGCGGGAGTGGCTGGCGGCGCGCGGGGTCCGCCTGGCGCTGCGCCCCTGCGCTGCGCGCTCGCGGCCCCGAGCCGGCGCTGCGCTCCGCGATGTGAGCCGCTGCCTGTCCAGCCTGGGCTCTGGCGAGGAAACTCACTTCAAAAGCAGCTGCACGGTGGGGGAGATTAAAGCCTTTGCCGCCTTCCAATCAAATGGGAGCCCGAGGTGATTGGAGGGTCAAGGGGATGTGACGCGTCCCGCGCCGCAGCCGCCGCCGTCGCCGCCGCTAGGACTCTCAGAGCTGGTTTTAATGGGCAGCTCGCTCTTCGCCGCCCCCCCCCCCGCGTGTCCCCTCCCTCCTTCTTGCTCCGAGGACGAGGTGGACACTTATTCTACGTTTGTCATCCGCCGCCTCCCTCTTTTTTCCTCCTTATCGTTCGTCCTTCTCCCTGCTGAAAAATGAACTGAAATCTTGTGCGGGGTCTGTGGATGTGTGTGTGTGTGTGTGTGTGTGTGTGTGTGTGTGTGTGTGTGTAGGTGTTGCGTGTGCGGAATGGACTGCGGGAATATCCAGAGGAAGCACACGTGGGGCTATGGATACAACTCAGATTGTCAACTATTGGGTCGCACAGGGGGCGCGCAACCCAAATGTTCTCTTCTGTTATTGAGATCTCGCGCGGCACCGCGGCTAGGGTAGGGAAAGGTGTAGAGCGGGTGCTGGAGGAAGTCCGCCCGCCCGCCTTGATTTCCTGAGATTCTGCGGAGGAGAAACAAGAATCTAGAAGGGCAGCGGAGGCTGTGGCGGCTCATCCCGGCGACGTGCACCCGGCTCTCCGCCCTTTCTGGCCACGTGATGCCCCGGGAAGAGCAGATTGGGGCAGGAGCGGGGGTCACATGTTTCCTCTGTTTCACACTCAGCCGCCTCCCTATTCTTACTCTCCCCTGTCACCCCTCCACCCCGGTTCTTTGGGTATCTCCACCCCTCCATCAATTGTCAATGTGCCTCGACCGCAATCAATCAGTTATTTGTCAGCTCTTGTCAATCCGCCTGTGATTTATGTCAGCTTTTGTTGCTGATTACAAGGCGGGTGGGACTTGAAGGGAAAAAGGGAGAGGGAGAGAGAGACAGAAAGAGAGAGAGAAAGAGACAGAGGAAGGAAGAGACTTAGGGGGAACTGGAGGAGGGAGAAAGAGGAGCCGCCTCCTGGGATGGCGGGAGGGTGGAGTGGGGTGGGCGTTAAGAAAAAGAATGAAAGAAGAGGAAAAGAGGCGCTCAGCGTCAGGAAAATGCATAGTGAGAGTAAAGTGCGCAGGTGCGCCCAGGGCGCTGAGATGGGCGCGCAGGCCTGGCGTGCGCGCTTCCTTGCTCCGTATAGGAGGGACAGATGCACGGTCCGCCTTGGGTGGACGCCGTAGGGTTGGGGCGGCCCGGGGTGCCCGAGGCGGGAGGCAGCGACGTCTAACACGGGAGATTTCCCGCCTCCCTGGGGCAACCTCGCCGGCGAGTTTCAGGCTGTGCCACGCGGCCGCGGCCGCCACCTTCCACAGTGCCCTGACCCCACACTCGGAGACTTCTTTCCAACAGCCGCGCCGCCAACATAACCTCGAGTCCTGGAGGTTAAGGGTGCGGTAGCCAAGGGGATTCTTTGATCCCCTGGGATCGCAGCGAGGACGGGAAGGCTGCGGGGAAGAGGCCTGAGCGTGGGTGCTCGGGGAAAGCATGTCTGAAGCTAACTTCGCCGACCTGTCGCCCTCCCCCAGCGCCCGCTCCGCGCCGCTCTCGTAGCCCTGGGAGCCCAGGTTCCTTGGGACTGCGACGCGACGCCGAGCCGGGACTGCCCGGTGCGGGAGGAGCAGAGGGAAGAAGCGAGAGAGGAGGGGGCGGCTGCTGGTGGGAACGCGCGTTCTTTCCGGGAAGCGGAGTGGGACTGCCTCGTTCCCCTCGATTTGCACCGTCACCCGGGCTGTTTGGAAAGAAAAGGGAGGCGCTGAGCGTGCCGCGGTGTCTCCGGCCGCGTGTGCACAGTGTGTGTGTGCCTGCGTGTTTGTGTGTCTGCGCCGCTGTCTCAGTGCTCAGGGCTTTGGTAGCGCCCAGAGAGAGTTCGAGGGTCACCTCCAGAAACTCGCAGAAACTGGAAGAGGATGAGGGGAGGACACACCTCCTTCCTCCGAAGGACTTGGAAGACTTTGCATCTCCCCTCCCCCACTTTTCCGCCCGGCTCTTCTTTTGTTGTCAAGTCCTTTTGATAAATGGTGGGGCTGGGAGCGCTGGGAGCCTGGAGTCCGCCTGTGCCGCGCAGGGCGGGGGCCGAGGCTGGAGGCCGGGTTTCGACCGGCGCGCACCCGAAGCGGACCCGGGTACGCGCGGGGTCCGATTGGTACCTGCTCTCGCGAGCTCACCCCTTCCCCTTGGGCCACCCTATTACCTTTACCCTTCTGTTTCCCACTCCTCCACGGTACCGAGAACTTTCTGGGGTGAGTTTTAGAATTTTCTTCTAGGCTTTTTTTTTGCGTTTTAATTTTATCCTTTAATACTTTAGGAGATGGTAACTTCACTAAAGGTAATTTGGAGAGGAGATAGGGAGTGAGGAGGTGTATGTGTAAGAACACACCTGCATTAATTCAAGGGGGTTTGTAGAGTCTCTGAGCGGCCACCGAGAAAGGTAAGTAGGCGAATGGGTCGCGCGATCACCCTCGAGGCTGTGAGGTTGCCCGCAGATCTTTGGAGAGCGAGACCCCAGCTTTGGTTTGCATGGGCGGACAGTCCTGAGCTGCCTCTGCCGTCAGTGTGTCTGTGACGCCTCTCTTATCCTGCGGGCTTTGGTGCCTGTGTCAACTGGGTGCATGGCTGTCTAGTTGTCAACTAGGGCCCACGGCAGTGCTCCCGGCGTCGCGAGCACAGTCGTGAGCCGCGAGTGATCGCGGTCTCCCCAAAAGGCCGCGAATGCTGGGTGTGCGGACAGAAATAGGGTTGACCTCAGGCGGGGACATCCTTCTCCACTCTGGTCCAGTCTCCAGGCGCAGTTTTCCCCTATCCTCTTACTCCAGTAGCTTTCTTACTGTGCCCGGTAGCTCAAGGGAGACCACCCCAGCACCCAAAGCCTTGCAGAGGCTCCAGCGCCCTTGGGAGCAGCTCGCGGTCCTGTGCTGTGCTTCGAGGGCGCAGGTCGCGGGTTGCGCGCGTTCCCTTAGCCTTCACCTCAACTCCGAAGGTCCGAGCGCAGGGGGGCGCCTGGGGGCCTGCGCGCCCCGGACTTTTGGGTGGTGCCAGTGTCGGAGCCTGCGCACCTCGTGCGGGAAGCCGAATCCCCGAGGGCTAAGCCGGCCTCGTGGTGGGGGTTATTAATTACTCCACTGGGCCTAAGGCCTCCTACCCCGGGCAGCGGCTGGTGTGGGTATCCTGGGGGTTTTATTTGCACACAATGGAAATGATTTGTTTTCTTTAAAAAAGGAGTAGGCTTGGCAGGTATTTGAGGAAGGGGGTGGGAGGAGAAGAAGGAAGGGGAGAGAGTTGAGGAAAAAAGTTTGAAAATGCCTTGAACTATTCACTGTCGAGATGGCTAATCAGTATTGAGGCCGGAGGGCAGGCGGGCCGCCTTTCACCGCCGCTTCCCTTTCATCTCGGGCTCGGCGGAGGCGCTCAATTAAAAGCCTATCAGTTTGTAAGTAAATCAACGCCTATCAGAGTTGTCACATCAAACAAAACGATTATTATTGCAGCCCGCCTCCCCTATTAATCTCCCTCGAAGATAATCCGCCTGACAGGTCAAGCCCGGCGAGCTGGAAAGCCTGGCCCAGAGCGCCCAAACAGTCTGGGACTGGCGCGCGCCCCCATGGCCCCCCCACACCCTTGTCCTTTTCTGCCTAGCAGTCTCCGGGGAGGGGCGAGAGAAAGAGCTTGCCGGGGCCCCTGCGTCTAGGCCCATCCCACGCGACGGCGAGCAAGGCCAGATTTGCCTGGCCAGCGGGGACCATCCCGCTCAGCCGGGGTCTTTTCGCCCGCTCTGGGAGGGTGTAGGCCAGGCTTGGTCCGGGGGCGTTTCTGTGGCCTGCACTCTTTTAGCCTTACACTGAACCCCTTCCCTCTCCTGTTCCACTTTGACTTTCTCTCTTTACTCCTTCATTTCTTTTTCCTTTTTCCCTTCTGCTTGCAGGCAATATTCCCTATACCGCTTCTCACTCTTGATATACCATGTAAATTACCACCTGCACAGCGACTTTCTGCACAGTACCTAGGGCATTCTCGGCTGGGATTATTTCTCCTGGGGCAGAGTTGCCTCGGAAGTGTGTTTAATTTCCAAGATTTTATGACAAAGTCCTCCCCAGTTTCTGCCGAAGCAGGGCTCTTGAAGCTCTGTGCCTGTTCAAGGGTTGAGTGCGTTGGAAGGGGAGTTGGGGGAGAGCGACCAAATACGGGGCATGAAGCAGTTAGAAGGGTGGACCATTGCAAGCACCCTGTTGTGGAATTAGAATTTGGTCTTGGAATTTCGCAGTCGTAGCTCGCTATTAGCAGTTACTTGGGCTTTGCAGATAAATAGATACATGAAGGAGATCCTCAGAGTGTAGAGAGACTTCAGCAGTGGGCATGCTAGGAGGTGTCTAATGTTTCATAAATAAATACATCCTCCAAAGAGTTTCAGTGGCCTCTAAGTGATGCCTTCAGGGTCAGGTGGGGTCTGGATTCTGCACAAAAATCATAGCCTTCCCTTTGGCCTCTGACTTGGAGCTTGGGAACACCTTGGGGTCACACGGAACCAGTCCTCTTCCTCCAAATCCATAGTCCTCAACGCCTCCTGCCAAAATCACAAAGAGCCAGGATTGAGGGTTGGCTAAAGCGTTTGAGAAGGAAAGGCTGTTGCGGGACCACAGGCCTTGCTACCTTAGATGTCAGGTCTCTTTCTGGGCCTGCATTGAGAACCCCCAAAGCAAAGCAGCACTGAGCATACAGCCTGAGTCTGTCTCACTAGCAGGCCCGGGTTCAAGGCTATCATTGAACAGTGCCCACCTCAGCCTGCATTGGGTACTGAGCAGCAGGGCTGGTGGCCCATAAACAAGGTTCCCGAAACCTCTCTATTTGATTTCACTGTCCACAGCTGACCTTGAAGGAATATTTATTTCTGTACCCAGAATATTGTATTGATACAGTGGCTCCTTTATCTGCTTCCTTGCTTTTCTTAACTGTGTGTATTTCATTTCTGCCATGCTGCAGATATTTAAAGAGCTATAGATACTGCGCCCTTCAACTATCTATGGGAAATATCCACTGAGTAGTTATTTGGACATTAAGTTCTATCTCTGGCTCAGATGACAACCAAGCAGGGGATGGAAAAAAAAAAAAACAAAAAAACAACTCTAGGATTTTTTTTTCAACTTAATTACCTTTGCATACACTGAGAATTTAAGAGTATTTTATATGCTTCTATAAATCTAAATATTCAGATGTGTTGTATTAAATGCCCTTGAAGCCAGAAGCGATCAGTAGTATTCGAATTGGATGTGGAGCTGTTTGTAGATTTTTTTTTTATCTTCCTCCACTTACATGCAAATCTCAATCTAATAAATTCAACCTTGTCATTTTTAGAATCGACGGGATTTCTCTGGCTGTCCTTTGCATTGAATTTATCCGAATAAATCCAACTCTCAGGCATCTAGCAGAACCGATTCTCTACTGGCAAGTACTGTGTGCTACACCCAGCCTAGATGGGGGGCACGGGGTGGCTGCTGGCGCACAGGCTCAGCGGGTCTGACCTCTGAGGTCGGATGCACCACAGCTCCCAAGGCTTCTCAGTGCTCAGCGGTATCTTGTCGACCCCACTTTGCCTAGTGCCTCGGAACTTGCCTGGCTGAGTCTGCCAGCAGCGAAAACTGAAAGAAAACTCTACTGAAGACAGCACAAACTTCCTCGATACAAGTTTACAACCAAGATTAGTGATTGCTTCAGGAGGACGGTAGGCTCCAGTATGCGGTTTGGGTTGGGATGGGGTCGAAGAGAATACCAGGTTGCTGAGCCTGGCCCGAGGTGAAAACGCTAGGGAAGCCTTCCAATCTGATGCTATTTCTTGGCAACTCTTCAGCTCTGGATGGTAAAAAAGGAAAGAAAGAAGAGTAAGTTTCCAAATGCCACGGATGCCCAGCGTGAATCGCACTAGGGAGCAACGGGAGGGGGCCGGACTTGTAAAAGTTGCTGAAAGGTTTGTTCAGAAGCGTCACCCTAATGGAAACCGAGGACCAGTTCGCTTCCCTTGGTACAGAATGGTCAGGAACCAGCCTGGGTTCCACCCTGCCCACTTCTATACCATCATCTTCAACAAGAGGTTAAATAACCACCCACCACTGAAGCTGTAAACTTCTGCACTGCCATCCGAAGACGAGGCCTTGATACCGAGGGGCGAGAAAGACCACTCATCCACCAGCTCGGTCCCAGCTCTAGGAGCGGTTGGCATGCGGATGGCGGAATGATCGCGGTCTCCACTTGGCTGTTCCGGGCGCTCAGAGCTAATCCCCCAGCTCTGGGCAGCCAGCGCTTTTTCCCCGGAGCTGCAGATTTAGGGAGCCCGCCGAGGGGCGCAAAATACCCGCGCGGACTGGCGCGGGGGGCGGCCGCTCGTCTCGCCGCGGGGCCTGTCGCCGGGCTGGCCGCGGCGGGTGAGTGATGAGGGCAGAGAAGGGCGCCCATAAATCGTGGGTGTCAGGGCGAAAAACTCTCTTTATTGTCTGTGTGATGGATGGGCCCGGGGACGAGACACCAAATACTTCGTATCGCCTTTAAATGGGAACACATTTTCCGCGGCCATAATTCATGTTTTTTAAATAGAAAGTTTGAAATGTTGCCTATATTTCACCGGCCCTGACATATTTATGAATCGCTCCCTGCATGCAAATATCATTATTTAAAGCGCCAGGGAGAGCGCGGGGGAGGGGAGAAGGCGCGGCCCCCGGGGCGTGGGGGTGGTGAACCGGGGAAATGTCGGTGGAGTGGGGACACCTCCCGAAAGGGCAGAGGATGGAGCGCGGGGAAAAAAAGCGCGCTTCGAAGCTGAGCGTGTCCTGGGGCTTCCCTCCCGCCGCTAGACAGCGCGCGGCCTCGGGGAAGAGGGTTGCGCTGTTTGCAGCGCAGGACAAACCTGGGCCTCCTGTCTGTAGATCAGGAGATAGTTTGGGTCTCTCTCTGTGGGCTGGATCCAAGCTGAAGCCAACTTTTCCAAGAAGGAAGGAAAAAAAAAAAAAAAAAAAAAGGAACTTAACAAACGCGAATAATAACCCAACATGTTTTATGTTCTTTGCTACTGCATCGATTTTATTGATTTTCATTCTGCAAACCTGGGATTGTGCACACCCTTTCCGGGCGGCTGTCAGAACCTAGTCACTGCACATGATAGGTGGGGGGGGTCAACCCTCTGGTGCCACTGCCCTGGTCGGCCCCCATCTAACAGCCTCACCACTTCCCAAGCACAACGGAGATTGCGCAAGACGCGGGGACACAAGGGACCCGGCCCGCAAGCTCCAGGGCTTCAGTCCCGCCCCGCTCCTTCTCTCCCCAAGTGCATAGCAGCGCTTCCAGGGTCCGCGTCCACCCTCCCGGACCCCCTACTGTGAGAATAATCGCTCTGGTGAAAAACCATGGCCAGGTTGTAGCTTATCGCCAGTCATCTTGCCCGGGAAGCGCCTACACCTGCGCCCCTACTTGCCAAGACTTTACCTGTGCGGTCCCCAGCCGCATCTGCGGCCGCGCAGATAACACAGAAATAAATGGTAGGGAGGGCGGGAGAGTGGGTGGGTCAGAAAGCATCACCGAGAGGGCCAGAGGCGCGGGCCCAGGTGCCTGCGCGCAGACCAGATGCTGAGGTCCTGGCCCCGCCGGCTCGCGGAGCGGATTGCTCCAGGGAGATCCGGCCGGGGGAGGGACAAGGAGAGAGCGGCTGCTCCAGGAGGGGCGGGCCCAGCAGCACTTCCGCTGGAGGTGGGGCTGCGGAGTGACGCGAAGGCCCCGCCTCTCCGCTGAGAAGACCGTGCCTCTCCGCCATGCACACCACGCCCCTGCTTTCAGGCTCTGCCACCACTACCGGAGCTAAGGATTTGAAGTACCAGCCAGAAGGAACTCCAAGTTGTGTGGGAAAAGGCGGTGGTTATCTTTCTTTTCCCTGCCTTTTTAAATCCTAAGAACAGAAGCACCTACATACCAACAACCTAAGTCCAAACATGCAGGTGAGATTTGTTCAAATTTTGGTCTTTAGGTGGTCCTGAGACCTGCCTGGCCCAGGGACTCCCTAATCTTTCTCTCAGATCCAAGCAGATGTCCCCTGGGACTAACACTTTTTGATGGTTCATTTTGTTCCAGGCAGATTCTGAGAGCTTGGAATTAGGCGCTCACAGCAGCTCTTTGAGGTAGTACCTGGAATGTTCTGTGTATAGAAGAAAACTGAGGCCCGGAGAGAAGCAATCGGCCTTGTCTTACTCCCATGCCACCTAGATCCTTTTTCTTTCCTTCAGATTTCCAGCACCCCAGCCCATTGCTCTGGAGGAGACTTCTGAGGCTTTCACTTCTCTGCTGAGGAAAGTGAGAGTAGTACTTGCCTGTTGCCCCACCCTGCGGAAAGGGCTCAACCCAGCCCTTCATCAGTCCCCAGCTTCCTGGGAAAAACAGCCCGTGTTTCCTTGTAGTCCCAACTGAAGCTAGTGTGCTCTTTCTTTAAAAAGTAAACCAAGCTTTTTTTCTCTTCTGATAAGAGCATCTGAGTTTTAGTCTTAGGATGCAGTACAGCCAGCATCCCATCGCTGGTGGGTCTTGGTTTGCCTTGTCTCTTACTCCTCTTCCTCTTCCCCTGGGCCCCTGCTACCCACTGTGATGTTGCTTCCCATCACCAGGATTTTGCCAGTCCTTGCCTTTTCAGCCATGACCCTCCTCCTCCTCTACACAGGGCTCACTCCTGTGACCCTGGCAGTATTAGAACTTGCTGTTGACAGTCTGTCCTCTTCCCTGAATGGCACATGCCCAGAGGGGCTGTGGCTGGGGTTGTTCCTTTAAGGGATGAGTGAGGAAAGAGCAGTTGTGTATCACCTATGCTGGATGAGTGAATGATTATATATGGGATCCCTGCACTTTTGAGGGTCACCAATAAGTATTCTCTATGGTCTCATATCACAAAGTGTTTTCAATTTAAAGGAGAGAGATAACACAAATCTCCTGGAAAGATAATGGTTATTTTGTCTCTATATTGTAAATGTCAAATAAGTGGATGCTGGAGGAGATTGGAGAAGAGAAATATCTCTGGTTTTAGTCACTTATCCAGGCTTTCAAAATGTAAGATATGCAGGGTGGCATGATTTAATAGAAAGCCAGCTCTCCTTGCTACCTTTCTTCCCAACAGTAGGGCACGTACGTCCCAAAACTCTTGCCTGGGCCCTCTTTCTTCTGCCCCTCTGGTCACATATTATTGTGATCACAGTTGAGTTCTTATTAATTGCTGACTGAGGTGCTGCTACAAGAACTTTCTAAATGTTTCCCCGTCCCAAGCCCCTCTGCCTTGGACTCTAGCCCACATAGTCCTGAGTGGCTCATTTCCCTTGGTCTGCAATCTTCAATGGCTCCTTATTGTCCATATATCACAGCTGACTCTTTGGAATCTAGCTCTAAACTCCTTTTAAAAAACTTTTTGTGACATTCCAAAATTATCATAGAAACATGTTCATCTCAACCATGAAGATACTCAAAGATACAGAAGGAAACATCCCCTTACTTCCTTTCCATCTCTTACCCAGTTACCCAATCCATACATTTTTAAGAGCCTAGTGTATAACTTCTATCCTTTTTCCACACTTACTAAGGCTGTAAAACTACACTTAGATTCATGGAGCTATTATGTTATTGTTTGTTCATACCAAAAAGAGTATTAGGGGTCTCAGCAAGTCTGTCTTTCCACCATTTATTTTTTATAATAAGTAGGTTATATGGAGTTAATTTATTCACTTTTAAGATGTAAATATTACATAAAATGTATATGCTACACTTATTCAGTCATTCCTCAATTACTGGCCATATGCATTGTTACTAGGCTTTTTTCCCCCTAATGAAATTGCTTATGTCTGTATCCTTGCCAAAAAAGGGTGACTTTTTTCTATAGGATAGATTACCAATAATTCAATGGGCTAGACATCAGCTCAGTCAGATTTCTTTGTTTCCATCACCCGCCCTGTGTTTCTGTTGTACTTCTGTTGTTCCTTCTTAGAAGCTCTTGTCCCCAGTGCTTGTCTGGTTTCCAATAGTGTGACAGCCAAACCTGACCCTAGGACTTAGGCAAGCTGTGCATGATTCACTTCATTCCTTCTTCCTCACTTAACTTGGTAGCAATGGACCAGATCCTGGAGGTGCTTCGCAGTTGGCATAGGACAATCATGAAAGTACTATTTCTTCTGTCCTAGCCATCTTTCTAGCTAGGGATAGCTATGAAACCTACTTTTGGCCCATAAAGAGCAAGTAGAAATAAAGGGGTGGCAAAACAGGAGGACAGCTGTTGAGAAATGCTCTAGTCTTGATGTTCCAAAGGGGATGATGCAAACATTTTGACTCTTTCCTCTTTCTCCCTTCTTCTATGAACTTAGATATAATCTGTAGCCATCTGTCACCAGGAGAAAAAGTGCAAGAAAATAACAGAGAGACTGAATGCTGATGTCACTGGGATGCAGAGCCACCATCAGTGACTCCCTCCTTCAAAACCTTTGTTAGAAAAATAAAGTGCTTATTTCTTTAGCTCAGTGAAATGAGGATTTTTATATTTTTCAGCCATACGTATCCTAACCTTCCCTTTTAGCAAGCACTTCCAATGGTGTTACACCAAGGAAATACCACTGCAGTAGTCCAAAAGAAGTTTCAGAAGCTTATTTGAGAGGACTTCCTACAAGTATAGGTTTCAGTGTAGAGACTGGCAAATATTCTTATGGGATGTTTTTGGTATTTTAGAATAGCCAAGTTACTGGCCATAAACTGTGTTAAGACACTTAACCCCCAGTACACTATTATATAGCAGGCAGTTAAGGTTTTCTTCTTCTTCTTCCTCATTTGACTGCCTAATATCTGAATTCACATACCCTTTGTTGAAAAGCAGGGTCTGCTCCCACCTCTAGAAACAGAAAAGACCATATCCTCCTCCCTGGCCTGGTGACTGAGGTTCCACTGGGGGACACCCCATCTGGGCCTCTGACTGTCAGGGGATGAACAGGAACTTGGGGCTTGGAAAATCCTTCTCAGCACCGTGCACAACCTAGGGCAATGGCCTTGACTGTCTAGGTGAAACGGAAAAGGGAAGACTTGTGCTCCATGGCCAGTGTGATCATGGTGGCTGCTCAGCCAGTGGCCTAACTAGACGGTTCTCGTGGCAGGACAGACCACACCTCTATTTACAGCCACTGCTGGTTCTCATCAGTTTCCCAGTTGTGGGTCTCTAGTCTTCTCACAGATTCTGTGAGCTTCCTCCTATCCTTCTGACAGAGTCATTTTCTGCTTAAATCAGCCCGAGCTTGTTTCTGTCACTCACAACCAACAATATCAACTGATTTGCCACAGCCTGGCTCATTGGGTGGCTTCCAAACAGGCCGGATGGTGATTGCTACTTAGTTGTGCCTGTGGGATCCTACTAGGGGTCCCCGCGTGGGGCCTTGGTTCCAACCTGCCTGGCTGAATGCCTCCAACCCAGCCAGGTAATGATTTCAAGTAAAAACCTTGAAAATCAGCAGTGAGACTTGGTTGTGGCAGGATTGGGTGAGAGAATCATATTAGTGATTTTATGAAATTCCTACTGGGTCCTGGACACTCTTCTAGGTAGCTTCACAGCGTA